GAAAATTATTTCGTCACAAAAAAAAAACTTCATTAAACAAATTTCTCCTCACACTTCCCACACACTCCGCTTTTCTCATCTAATTTCTTAACTAACTTCACACACTCCTGGCTCGAGGATGAAATAATTTTCGACGAAATGAACATTCGATGAAACAAACTTTCGACGAAACAATTTTCGACGAAGTAAACGTGACCGAAAAAAAGCTTGCAATTTAAGAGAACCAGTTGCATTACATGAAAGCATTATTTTAATTCTATATCTAGGTTTTTTTGTACCAGTAATAGGTTCACTACTGAAAGTTTTGTTGGGTTCTAACTTCCAATAGAGGGCAGTTTTGTCAGCATTATAAACATCATTCAAGTCATATTCTGCAATTAAAGATTTTAATTCAGCTCTAACTTCTGGTAAGTCATCAATTGGTGCACTTGGTGCTTCGCCCGCTTTGTAATGTTCTTTTACACCTTTTCTTTTTTAAAAATTAGTAAGCCAACCCTATTAAATAGATAAAATGATTAAATAAATTAAAATGAAAATAAAATAATCAAAAAAATTGATACTTACTTGTGAGACTGTAAATCCAATAATTTTGAGTCTTCTAGCATAATCCAGTGCCTTTTAACAAATGATGGAACCAGTTATGGTATAATTGGACTATCAATCAAAAATGCTAATGCTTCTTCCAATTGTGGCCATTCACCTCCACAATCTCATTTAGTAGCAGCTGAGCTCTCAGTAATTGCAGGCCTTTTTTTTACTATTTAAAAAAGTTTCGGCTAATCTATATGAAGTCTAAGTCAGTCAATCATTTAGCCCAAGTATAATTAAATAAGTCGGTCTCATGTGATATTTTGTTGTGTGAAGGGTCATTACTATTTTTAATAATGTATGATTTAATAATTTTTTTATTCGTCATTAGCAAAATGATTATTTGTAATAAAATATCTGACGTAAAAGAACTATCTTTATTGTTCATTTCTTATAATTTAGAAATCATTCTCACATTTATATTTTATTACTTCTATCAGTTGTAATGCATAATCACACATTCTTTCTTTATTTTTTCTTCTCAAGTAATTTTAAAAAGAGAACTTTTTTCGCTTTAATCATTTGATGATTTATCATGAATAATGCATTTATATTTTATTATCTCATCATTGATTGTATCATTCCAATAATTTAGAGAACATTCTTGTCTAATTGTGAACAATACATCTTATTTTCTATCTCATTTTATATCATCACTTATATCATTGATTATATCATGCGAAGAAATATATTTGTATTCCTATTAAATTTTATTATGTATAAAAAGGTTGATTTCGCAACCTTTTAATGTTTGAGATAAAAAACAAGTAAATAAATATTTTAAAAAAAAAATTTTTAAATTTAAAAAAACACGCGAAATTCTCTTGATAAGTCGGTCACAGGGGTCCGCCTCGACATGACCAACTTATCAAGTTTACATATTAATATGTATAATGTATTGATTATAGGAGTTAGATATTCATGTACATATTAGCACTACATCACGAGCTCTCAAATCTTTAGGATTTACAGTAAAATTAGCACGTATAATCCCACAAGCAAGAAATACAGAAGATGCAATTAAATACACGAGCAGAATTGGCTCACACTTTTTAGAACAACAGCTGACGATGCCAAATTCTAAAATTATTTACATTGATAAAACCTGTACAGTAATACAGTAATAAAATCGTAATGTAACCGTGTTGATTGTTGTATATAATTATAGGTTTTAACTTGCATCTTTGTCGTCATCATGGACGCTCAAGAAGGGGAAATCGTGTATAAATAAGTGTTCCTACTCAAAAATGGTGTAAATACATCATCCGTTAGGTTTTTTATTAGGATTATTAAAAAACAATGCTTTATACTGTATCTTCTACAAGTAATAATATAATTTTATTTCACATAGATGGTTGCAGCGATATCGATTGATAGTCTTTTACATTTTAGGTTCAAAATTGGAGCCTATAATTCTGATACATTCATTGAATTTTTAAATGAAGTCCATGATGTACTGCAAAGACAAAATAACGAATTAGGATCTCTGTTCGTAATGGATAATGTACCTTTCCATAAAACTGCAGCTGTGCAACAAAGCCATAAATGAAAAGGGTTATCATGTATTGTATCCACCTTATTCGTCACAATTGAAACCAATCGAATTGCTTTTTTTCCAAATGGAAAAGTGCAATCAAACGTGATCATATAAATGATAGGGGACAACCTTCACAATCGAATAAATATGGTTGCAAGAACCATTATAAATAATGATTGTCAAGGTTGTTGTAGACATACTCAAGAATATGTGCTTGCCGCGCATGCTAGACAACCTTTAAAAAACATTTAAAAATAAAATAATTTTTTGTGTTCACTTTTAAATGAAATGCAAAATGTTTACTTTATGCCGCAAAATGGTGTAAAATCATGAAATCATGCTCGCGCACTGCAAGTCACTGTCGTTCTCCTGAAATGTATTATATTGATTAATAATTCCAAAAAAGTATTAGAATTTCATCGGTTAAACTGTCTCCCGCGTACTGTGTTACTTATTAGAATAAAAATTATTATGGGAAAAATATTTTTTTTTTCACATTCCAAAATTAACTTTTAAAAAAAATGGGTATTAAAGTTATTGGATTCGCTATCTCCACCGCTACTCTCAGAGTAACTCTTACTCTTGAAGAATTAGGTCTAGAATATGAATTCGAACCAGTTACCAGCATAACTGAAATTAAAACACCTGAATATCTTACCACAAAAAATCCATTGTAAATAATCTTTATTAAATTTTCTCATGTTAATGTTTTCTTCTCAAATTCAAAAATAAATTAACTATTATCATTTATCATTGTTATATTTAATAGCGGGAAAGTCCCAGTAATGATTGATGACGGTTTTACACTTTACGAATCGCGCGCAATCTGTCGTTATCTCGTAAACAAATACCAAGGAACCAAGAATTCTAAAATTTTGGTTCCAAAGGATATACAAAAGGCCGCTTTGGTTGAACAATACTTATCGGTTGAAAGTTTATATTTTGATATACCAACATCAACTATTAATTTTGAAGAGGTTGTTAGCAAGTATCATGGTAGAGAAGCCAATGCTGAAAAGGTCAAAGATGCAAAAGAAAAACTTGAAAAAACATTGGATATCTATGAAAAATTTCTCGGAGGAAAAGATTATTTGATTGGTGAATATTCTTTGGCAGATGTTTGCCATGTGCCTAATCTCTCTGCTAATATTCATAAAACTAGCGCTAAAGATATATATTATGATGCTAAAAGACCCAATGTTGTTAAATGGGTGAAAAATATTTGCGAAAGACCTTCTTGGAAACAAATGGTAGCAAAAAATGATAAACTTGAATAATGTTAAAATTTATTAATCTAAATTAAATTAAATCTATTAATATACAAATAAAAAATAATTGATATAAATATTAAAATTAAACATTTTATTTTGCAAAAAAAAAAAAAAAATATCAGTTTTGACCTAACTCGTCCAAATTTCATCGTGCAATTAGTATTAGAAATTATTGACACTACACCCAACGTCGTGACTAAGCTTTCGAATTTTTATTGTAGTGGACTTTTTTTGTTTATACCAATTTTTTTTTTTTTATAATTAACAACGGGGAAAAATAAAAAATAAAAAATTACATATGGGAACTGAGGATGTTTATTTCCAAAAGGCAAAAAAATTTTTTTTTTTTCAAAAGAAACTATGTTGTGTTTTTTAAAAAGACTTTATTGCATTTAATTGGAAATACATGATAATGGTGACCTTTTTATTTTCTATATATTACATTATTATTATTTATGAATGTTGTTGATTGGGAAAATCCACAGTTTTAACATGGCATAGCTAATAATAATGGGTTTAAAACGTTTGGAGCACTGTTTCAATTAAGAAAATAGTTGCAGTCTACATCCAATTGCATTTGTAAAAAAGTAGATCTTTGCAGGAGATTGGCAAGATAGTCCTTGAAAGGCTCAATAATCAAAAGACGGAAAAATATAGAATGAACATTACGTATGGAAATGGTCTAGCAGCTTCAGATTTTGATGCAAAGATTAGCGGGGAAGATCAATCAGTACTGAGAATCCTATTTCATACATGATGATTGATTATTCCACATTTAGAGGAAACCAATGCAAAGTGGTTAAGCAATCAATTTATAATATAAATTTTGGAATTTGATGATCAATCCTGAAGAAAAAGTTTATTGTGAGCGGTGGGAAAAATTCAACATTAATTTCTGAGTCCTGTGTACATGTTTACTTTCAGTTATTGGAAACAAATCAATAAAGTTAAAAGACTACTAAATGGAGCACTGTATTCAAATGGATTGATGGATATAGATGTAGAGACTCCTAATTATGACTCGGTTCAAATGCGGTCCCGTTTACTTCGTCGAAAATTATTTCGTCGACAATCATTTCGTCGACAATCATTTCGTCGACACTCATTTCGTCGACAATCACTTCGTCGACAATCACTTCGTCGACAATCACTTCGTCGACAATCACTTCGTCGACAATCATTTCGTCGAAAGTTCATTTCGTCGAAAGTTCATTTTGCCGAAAGTTCATTTTGCCGAAAGTTTATTTTGCCGAAAGTTCATTTCGTCGAAAGTTCATTTTGTCAAAATTATTTCGTCGACAGTTCATTTCGTCGAAAATTATTTCGTCGGCTTATGTATCGTACTAATGATAAATGAGGTGATGATAGTGATGGCAACAGTATTGACATTGAATATTTTAGTATTGGTAATAATTATTGTTTTTTAGTAGAGTGTGTGTATCAGACAAATTGGTAATATTCCTTTCATGATACATAAATTTGAGTTATTCGTATACTTGCAAACTAATTAGCACTCTGATTTTACCTGAATTTTCTGAATTCAATCAGGAATGTATAATATCTAATTACAATCATACAAATGTAAATTATACTAATAATAAATAAATTAAATGGTTACGCTAAATCATTAAATCGAAAATTAGTTTTTGAAATTATTAAAATCGTATGATTACATGGGTCTGACAATCAAGTAAGGTTTCTAGCCCAAGGTGGAACTCTCTAAAATTCTATTTGTATACCTATAAAAACACAGAAATGTATTTTATTCGATTGTGGAAACACATTTTGGATACAGATGAAAATTTTTATTTCAATTATCCAAATTTAACAATTATTGTTAAAATAGCACTCCTTATACCTTTTTCCAATGCACATGTTGAAAGAATATTTTCACAAACAAATTTGATAAAAAACAAATTGAGAAACAGAATGCATCTAGATACATTGAATAATCATTTAATGATTTTACTAAATGGTCCAGATATTCAAGATTTTAATTTTGAAAAAGCATATGAACATTGGACAAATAAAAAAGTAAGAATAAATAGTTATTCAATATAAATTTTAAATTTTATAAATAGTTATTCAAATTTTAAAATTTTTTTCATTAAAAAATTTTTTTGGTGATGATCAACAAATGTGCGCATTTTTTATCTAACACACGCGCCCGCACACAATTTCACACACTGGGTGGGGGAGTAAGCACTACTATTAAAATGATATTAGCTAATATATGTCAGTACCCTTAATTGTTTCTATGCAAAATTTCGACCAATGAGAAAATAGTGGACACATGACTTGGAATTAAAAAAATTTTTTTATGGACAATGAATTAAAAAATGACAAAGAAAATTATTTTTTATTTTAATTGAACTAATAATAGAAAAATGCATAAAAATATAAGTTAAAAAAATTGTCAGAGCACTTGCATGGGAGGAAATGCTTGGACCTGTTGTATGTGAAATTGAAATATTATGGAATGGGGTGAAATTCTGATTGGCTAATTTGAATTTCACATATGTAAATTTGAATTTCACATATTCACATAATTTCATTTTCACATACAACAGACCCAAAGCCATTTTTAAGTATTACCTATTCTTTGGGCACTGACAAAAATCTAACCTTCACTATTACTACTGCTATTCTTTTTATTATTATTGATAATATTATTATTACTAATATTTATATTTTTGTTGTTTTTATTATCTTCTTCATCTTCCCTCTCCACCACTTTCTTCTTCTCTTTCTCAACCCACTTCTGAATTGCTTCTATTGTTTTCCTTTTAGGATTTGTTTTCTGTTGGTAAAATTTTTTTATTGTGGAAGCAACAACACCTTTTTCCTCTGCAAGTATTCACGAATTTCAATGATCATTTTACTGAATGAAAAATTTGGATTTAGTTCTGTCTTTTTGTCAAATAATTGTTTGAAACCCTTCCATAAATTTTCTATTTCTTTTTATCACTAGTAGGTTTGTTTGTTTTATGTCTCTTTCTTGGTTCTATTCTATTGATTTGATCAATTTTTTGATTTATAATAGAGAACTAATTTTGATAAGTTTTATAGTGAAACAAGAAACCAAGAAAAAGTCCAATTAACAATCTGCAAAAAAAATTCACTATTGAAAGTGTGCATGTTTAAAATTTTATTATGAATGAAAATATTGTGTAAATATTTATTGATTATTTGATTGTTTTTAAACTAAAATAAAATTGTGTTAATGATTATTATTTAATTTTTTTTTATCTGAAAATAAATGGACTGGTGATACTTTTATAACATTCCAATACAAAGCAGGATTATTTATTTTGTTTCAATATCAATGAGAAAAAACAAAAATTTATATTCTTGAATGTAAAATTTGATCAAACTTTTTTTTTTAATGATAAGCAATGCAATATTATAATCTTCTTTGTATATAGTAAAAAATATAAATCAATATTGCAACAATGAATTATTTTCCTTCTAAGAATTTCTGCTTTTTGTTAGATGATAGCATACCTTCACTCTGCTTTTTTTTTAACATTTTATGATTTTTCTTTCTTCTTGGTAAATTTAATAAGTAATCCTTTCTTTTCTTAGATAAGCTTCAAGTGTCTGAGTATCATTTATTTTGAAAATATAGGGTGCAATTTTTTCACCTTGTTCCTTTTTTAAAATACTTCTAATGGTGCTGTAATTCTTGGGTTCCATAGTAGACCTAATGTAAATTAATTTCATATTACTATTTTTATATAGGGGGATAGTTCTATATATCACTTAAGATAACAAATGGGATATTGTAAAACTGATCACATTACAAATGACTAGATTTTGATACCTGAAATTCTTGGTTATACCAATGTTCACTTTGTCTGGTTTTGTTGCAGCATGCCCCATACAATGAAAAACATCTCAATTCTATTTTATTTCAAAGAATCCTCGAAGAAAATCAAAACTAGATAGATAATAAAGTGTATTACAACTAATATAAATAATAGGTACACATCATTGCATATTTAATAACATTAAAGGTTGATCATGATGTAAAATTCAATTTATGTGTGGAAGGGTTACATTATAATCTGCCTGGCCTTTCAAAAATAACTACATTTCTGATTTTTTTCAACAACCCTAATTGTTTTCTGTAGATGGATAGCAAAAATCAAAGTATCACATCATCAAAGATATGTATTTAAACCAATAATTATTCTTAACAACAAAGTGACAATTTTTTCAATCATTGGTAATTGGTAGTAATCCAAACCACCAAAGGTCCTTGGCTTTTCAGTCAACCATTATATTGGTATCCCAGCATAATCAGAATTAGTAAACAAAAACAAGGCACATTTGTTAATGTTTCATATTTATATCTCCTTACAATTTTTGATTTTTTTAAGATCATTTATTAAAATTGATGATGGTGTAATGATAGTTGTTGGACCATCTCTCCATTATAAGGGGGGTGAACTAACTAATAATTGAAAGTTGGCTAAACCATTAATCATTAGGACGGGTTATGGATTAATCACACCAGCTTTATCAATCACAGTTAAAGTCTATTTTTACATAAAAGTGTTATTTTTATTAGTGGGTTAAGATCATTCATTTTACACTAAAGGAAATTTCAAGCATGTTTATACTTCTTGAAGTATTACAAATAACATGACTTTTTACATGATTTATCCAATAAAATAAAATAAAATGAATGATAAATTGTGGATGATTAATGCCAAAAACGCATCATTTATTGACAGAAAATAGAAAATAAAATCGTAACACAAAATTGTTTTGTTATTATTATGGTGATCACTATGAAGCTCAAAAGCATATGAATGTAATAGTCCGCCTATAACAATAAATATATCATCATTAGAGGTTCCTGGTTAGGAAAATTAAGCAATGAGCTATTTTTATCACAAAAATAATAAAAGTAAGAATTAATATACAATTTTTAAAGTTAATAACAAAAAGTGCAAGTAATTACTGGAATAAGTAAGACCCTTGGGAAATGTTTGACATTG